ACAATGCATGTGCAAACATATTTATAAATGGAATACTAGGCAACCTTATAATGAATAAAGGAGTTCTATATGCACTGATGCAGAAAAATCTTTTAATATATATGAATATGCCATATTTTTTGTCCCATTTTCTGTTGATGGGCACTTGTTTCTATTTTATAATGAATGGTACAATGACTGTTGTCTGTATGTTTCATTCTACATGTTTGAGACGTTCTCTGTGGTATAAAATTGGAGTAGAATTGCTATGTTAAAAGGTATTCTTACTTTCAACTTTATTAGATAACTGTCAAATTACTTCCCAAAGTGATTTGTATGACCAATGCATCAGGTCTCTAATTTTGCCACATCCTTACCTTGTTATTGTCAGACTCAAACATTTTCTTTCTTGCCCAGTGGGTACAAAATCATATCTTTTGGTTGGTTTTAATTTTTAATTCTCTGTTACTTGTGAAGTGGAACATATTTTCATATATTTAGTTTGACCATTTGGGTTTCCTCTTTTGTGAATTGCCAATTCATATCATTTTCCCATTTTTCTTGGGTTTTCTTCTTCTTGATTTATGTGCCTTTAAAATATATTATGGATTCTAATTATTGTTCTTATGCACATAGCAAATGTTTTCTTTCCCAGGAATATGGTCTGCAAGAGAGTCATTTTATTTTTTGTGGTGTTTTTTGTTCAAAAGTTTTAAATATTAATGTAGTTATATTAATGTTTTTCTTTATGATTTCACTTTTTGTTTAAGACGTTTTTGGTCAAAAGATATTTTCCTATATATTCTTCCAAAAGCTTTAAAGTTTTGCTTTCATATTTAGTTGTATAGTCTACCTATACAAATGGTTTTTTATACAGTGTAAGATAGAAATCTAATTTTTTAATATAGACAGCCAATTGTAAAGCATAACTTACTAATTCATCCTTTCCACACTGATTGATTATAGAGTCATTATTACATAATAAGTTTTCATATAGATATATCTGTTTCTGGACTATTTATTTTGTTCCATTGATCTTTTTGTATATCTCTGTATCGATACCATGTTATTTTAACTACTTTTGTTTTATAATGAGTTTTCTATAAGTCACTAAAATGTTTTGTTTTATTGATCTAACAGCTAGCATTTCCCTAAATAAT